TGACTAATATAATTATTAGTTATGTAGCAATAAGGCTGCTACAAACCCTTGTAGTCGTTCCAAATTCCGCCCGGCGAATCAGCCTTCTCCAATTACAACTATATTTGCGGGGTCAAAGAATCCTCAAATAAAAAAAAAAGCATTTCCATATCCGTAGAATCCACAAGGTAAGTTCTATTAACTGAGCTAGTCGTGGCAACCACATTTCGATGTGTCTTAATATAACTACCCTAAAAGATTTGTAATTGTCCATTACAATATTTCTAACCAAAATGCGAAACGGTCACATTGGTCCTTTGAGCCGAATCAATTCTTATATGCTTTTTCTCTCCTTTTCAAATATTAAAATTACCTAAACTACGTTTTCAAAATAGTATTTATTTACTTGAACCAGGCGGTACGAGTAAGGAGCGTTTATTAAACTCAAACGTTGACTGCAATTAGAAAGTACACAGGCTAACCGAAAGATGGGTAATTACTTTTGAGGTGCATATTTGATGTCATCTCAAGCGAAAACACTTTGACGTCCAATTTAACATTAATATCATCCCATTGAACTTAAATCCCTCAGAGTTACAGCGAGCTTACGCAGTTACGCCATCCTTGCATATTTCCACGCTCGATTAACTAAAAGGAAAAAGATATAGATTGAGCAATAACGAAATTGCCTATGTAAAGAGAATCACTTCTGTCGTCTGAAAGATATATTGTTACCTTAGAGAGAATGCAGCTTTACTTCAATTTAATCTAGTTTCTCATCAAGATATATAACGGATGGATTTACGAAAGCCCCTTTGGCGTTGACGAGATTGAAACCATGAACGCCTATTCCACGCAGACGATGAATTTCGTTTAATTTCAAATTGGGGAATTATCAATATACGTAATGGAAATTACACGAGCATTATCGCATCGATTTTCAGTGGCAATTTTTACCGAAGGGCTGAAAAATAACACTTCAAATTTAAATGACAATATCGTAGCCCCAGATTTTGTCCGTGTCTACAAAATATTATCGCCGAGATATATCCGAAAATAAGTTCGTTTCGTTTCCACCGGACCGAAGCCAAACGACCAAAAATTAACCGACTGATTGCGCGAAAAAAAGAACCACCCCGCATCCAGGCGGATGCCAGACAAACTTATGACATAAATTGCAGCAATAGCTTTCATATTCCTTAGAAATGCGCCTTCTTTATTATCCTTTATCTCGAGCTCGTTTTTAATTTCACGTTTCCTTTATTTAGAACGCTATTATTACGTAAACAAAAGTCTATCTTTTCCCTCTTTTATCGTTCCATTGTCATTCCTTTCTTCTGCTTTTTTTTTCGCACAAAAGGGGTCGCGCTGCGGATTCCAATTAGAACTCACCTCAACCGCAATTGTTTCTGATATAACCTGCTGATTTGGGCGTATTGTTCCTAATTTTTTTGTTGAAAACGTAGGAAATTTCAAGTTGGCCGGCGTATTCGGTTATCTACAGCTAAAAACCTTTTTAATTAATTGTGCGGCCAGCTGACATCCTAAAAATCTGCAATTTCTTTTGATGCCCCTCACCACTAATGACGATTACTGCAACACATTTATTTATCTATTGTTAATTTCACTTACTGAATTGACCGGATTGAAATTTATAAAATCGATAGTACTGATATCGATGTAAACCTGCATGGTCTTCCAGTTTTAATGCTCGTGTTAAATTAACATAGGAAACAAAACCTGCTAATAATGGCTTAACGAAGCTAGAATTCGCAAATGTTAATTTGTCTTCGTCTCCTAGACGACCAGAACTTTCGAACGCAACAACTAAAATACCTTGAAGGGAATGGTTGTAAACGACATCCACCTTAAAACGCTTCTAGATACCGGTTGTTCATCTACAGAGCGATCAGTAAAGATGGTAATTTCGTACAGTTTTTGAAAAATGAACCAAGATTCTTCTTCTTCAAGCGAGAAAGGGAACGTTGCGAAGTTTTAGCTCAGACTGGAGGTGGTGGCAGCAGTTTCATTGAGAACGTCGCCCCAATTAGGTTTATGGGAATTGCAAGTTAATTGTTATCCAGTTGACGTCATTAAGAGATCATGGGCACATCACCACCATCTATAGGGGAGCGACGCAGCAATGATGCGGTTGGACAGATTGCCATTGCTACGAAAAATGCTTAATTTAAAAACATAATGGTAAGGCTTTCTCTATCTAGAAATAAAGCAACTGTGATGGAGCTACCAGACACTCTTTCACTAACAGCGATCACGTTTTCTCTCCGTGCCCTTAACGAATTGATCGATCAAAATAGCGCGAATAAAGCGCAAATCGAGGGCAGGTTTTCGCCTGTCTTATCGCATTAATTGGATAACAGTTTTCGGTCGAACAACGCTAAAAGCTCCAATTCATTCTATTATTCGCGAAAGCTCGTTCGACTGCTTGCGCGCAACAAGAAAGTATAGAGAACATCAATACCATTTACATCGCATCGAGGCATTGTTCCACTTCATTAGCTTCCGTCACGGGTACGTGCATCTGCAATGTTTCACTATCACTATATATAGACGGATCCGACTTAAATAAGCGCAAAATGGGAATCTAATAGGGTAAATCTGTGTTTCTGCTGAATCGTATACGGATCCCTGTTAGGAGTTTATATTAATTGAATACGCTCGACGACATCTACGGATAAAAATTTAGAAATCCTCTTCGATCGCTTTCTCCAGCGTGTCATTTTATGTCGACACGTACGGTGTACGCATTGTAATTACCGACAGACGTCATCAGTCTAGTTGGATGCTATGTTTCGAACACCCTTCGTATTTGGCATCAAAGCTTCGGAATTACGTTGTCGATGAAACCCACATTCAGACGTTATGATGTATATTAGGAACGATGATTTGTCTGAACATTAAAATTCCAAGCGACAAGCGTGCACTCCTCCAATTATTAATCTGGTCCTAAACCATCTAACTTCCAGCTTAATGAAACGTCAAAAAATTAAAAACTTCTTAATTAGTTTCCAGGCACCTGGTCGTCTTAAAAATCTGGCACATATCTCAAACTATGTAACAGATGAAGATTGCTGAAATTCAATGAATTAATTACGGTTAATTATAACTACCTCATTGGCCGGATTTTCAAAGTCAGTTGCTATTGTTAGTTGGAGCTTCGGATCAATCGCAAAAGGAGGTTCACGGAGTTGAAAGGATACAATATTAATTTTCCCTTTTCTTCCAATTGTAGAAAGCCTTAGGATTCTTCAAAGGTAACGAGAACGGTTACAAACGAAAAATTAGTTACAGTATCCGGATTTCTTATCGGCGGCTAAAACACGAAGTTTATTCCATGAATTTTTTTGGTGGGTTGTTGGCGCTTGCGCAAGGACAACTGACCTAGTGACCACATAGTCGTGCCTACATTGTTGAATTTATCGTGAACGCATTTCGGGGTGAAATATTTTTTAAAGTGGGAGGGGGACTAACTTAGGGTTTTAAAAGTTAGGTTTTTTAACATTTGTGTTATTATAGTTTTGGCAATCCATTTTAGTACCTATATAACTACATAATCGTATACGGTTAAGTTATGTCCTAATTGTGCAATTTTAGCTCGGTTTTGCAATAATCGACTTCAATCAATAATTATTAACTTAGGTACTTGATTCGGAGTTAATGCATTATCCCGCAGTGACTGACTCTGTAATTCAACCGTAGAGCGTTGGGCTATAGAGCCGGAGGTTGGGTGTTCGAACCTGGACTTAGATAAGAATTTTTCATCTGTGACAGAGATACGAATTTCCTTACACCAGTTTCGAACAACTTAAGATCATCATCTGCAGGGGCATCTTTAAAAAGCATTATGCGGGTCACTCTGTAATTGGGAGCAAGCCTGTTGAGGGACCAGAACATAAGAGGAATAAATAAAAAATACACATATCACCCCCCCCCCTATGTATTTTGTCTCAGGAATCTATGTCATCTGACCATCGTCGTATCTTCTAAAGGTATAAGGTAGTGTAAAAAAAAATGTTAAAACCGTAACATTTGAAAACATTAAGTTAGCCCCCTCCCTCCCCACTTTTAAGAAAAATGTATGGCTTAACCGTTAATTCAAGTGGCGCAATTGAGAGCATATCCAAATGTATTAGGTGGTATAAATACCAGCGACCAAATACGTACGGGGGGATACGTAGACTCGACCCCCCCAAACGTATTTCGAATTCTAAAAAACGATAATGGTGCAAGAGTTACTATCGGTGGCGCAAGTGAGGGATTTTCGAGAGATAGCTCTTCTCTGATTTACGGCGTAGACTTTTGGGGCCTAGGTCGTTCATGAAAGCTGTCTTTGTCCGACGGCTATTTTTATGGTGTCGGGGGATTTAGGTACCACGCTGACAATGGGCTCAGGATCAGGCGCTACATACTTCCCCCAAGTAATCCTCACACGATCGTGAGCTGCTGCTCTGACAGTCATTCATGGGCGGCTGGGGAGTCTTGGACACCAAAACATCCAAAGAGGTCCGCTTACACTTTATCATCTCGGTGCACGCTCGCGGACAAGTTTAGATTCGAGAACCATCTCCCTATAAAGATGATTTCGGCACGTGATAAGGATCTCTTACGACCTGTATCTTTGGAGATCCCTATCAGTGTTTTAAGGCTTCTCGGCGTCAAAAGCCAGTTCAGAGACACGGGAGAATGATCTCGGAGTGTCGGAGTTAGGTCTGCCCAATGTGGCTTGGAGTGACCTTCCTCCGCCTTCATGGAGACGGGAGGGAACGGTTGGTGGCGACAAGGGGACTATGCCACCTTGCTGCCAAATACCACTGGTACACACAAACAGGGTTTGCCCTTTTGGTCGTACACAGGAAACTTCGTTGTCCACCTTTTCCCACGAGGAGGTAAGAGTTAGGAGGAGGTAGGAGTTAGTAGAAATTACGAAACAAAAAAGTGGCTTGGTTGGTAGAAGATCTTTAATATCATTACAGTTCTCCATTTATCACAATTTGCCTAAGTTTAAAACGATTAATCTTATTAGTAACCGTGCGTTGAAGTCTATCAACAATCTTTACCCCCCCCACGCAAGCGATGTTTGTCCGCAACCCTTTCGTCAACGTATTTTACAACTTCGTCGGCGCTTATTGCTTTTCCTTCGAGTAATTCAATCAGTGCCATGGAATGGTTGCCTTCCGTCTGGTGTGGCAGACCGAGAACCACGGCATTTTTAATGATGGGGTGGTCGAGAAGAATGCATTCGATTTCGCTCGGTAATATGCGATAGGCCTTGTATTTGAAGATATCCTTAATTCTATCAACAATAAAGAAACAATTCTCATCGTTATAGTACGCTAGATCTCCCGTCCTGTACCAACCATCCGAGTCTATCGTGTCGGAGGAATCATAGTTGAGGTACCCTTTGAACTGAAAACCAGCCTTCAACATCAGTTCGCCGCATTGGTTCTGGCCAAGAACCTTTCCCGTGTCAAGGTCTACGATCTGCAAGTTAGAGAGTGTATACGAGAAATATGGCCGTGAGTTACCTTCCAATCCACTCCATCCACTGGGACTCCTACAGAACTAGAGAATTTTTCCGCTAACTCTCGGCCTTTAATATCGGATGCGAAAGCGAAGGGCCACCCGAAAAGTTCACTCTGTCCGTAAACGTTACTTATCCTTGTCTTTGGGAGCTTTTCGTGCAGCTTCCGAGCCAGTCCTTCTAGTAAAGGTAAACCACTCAATTGAAGCTGAACCAGATTTCCTAGATCGGTGTGGGCAGGCGTCGGAAGGTGAACGAAGGTGAGAGCTTGTAACGTGCCGATTGTGAGTGCATCGATTCTGAAGCCGAGTAGTGCCCATGTATCGGTACCTGTGAAAGGTGGCAGGATGTATCTGCGTATCCCATTTAAGAAACATCTCTGTATTCCAAAGTAAAAAGTCATCCAGTACGGATTTGTGAACCAAGCGATACAGGTTAAGTCCTTAAACTCACTAGAAAGGCTATCAATACATCATCTAAAAAAAATCAGCTTACCAATGCAGCTTGTTTGACAGCATAGATCGGTGAGAATGGCAGATACCTTTTGGCATCGCAGTTGTTCCACTGCTAAAAACCAGCAGAGCCGTTTCATCTAAATCTGTCAGTACTCGTGGCTTAAACTCTTACTCGGCAGAGATTGAGGTGACAAACTGGCAGAAAGACGAGTACTTTTCGTTCTCTCCAAAGACCACAATCAACGGTTTCGTCTTCAATTTTTCGACCACACCTTCGATAAGCACCACGGCATCTTTATCGACAAAAATGATTTTGGGCCCCACCTCACTGAGCAAGTGGACAATTTCTTGCTCCGACATCGATGGATCAACAGCTGCGTTAATTACACCGGTAAATAGCGACGAGACGAAGGGGACGCATACGTCAATGTGATTCGTCGAGCATACCGAGATGAAATCGCCAGGTTTGAGACCAAGGTTTTGGAATGCTTGAGCGGCGCCAACGCAGTGCCGCAGCAATTCGTCGTAAGTCTGCTCATCCTTCGTGACCGTGTCAAACTAAAACAATTACGTTACTTGTGGTAGTGTACATATTATACACCTAAAGGTACCTGTGCAATTTTTCTGCCATGGTTTCGCATGGCGTGGTAGTACACGTAGCCTATTCCTCGTGAGTCAAGAACCATTTTTTCTGTTAATCTACCGCAAATCGTGTTCGTTGTGATTTGGTCGCCAAGTGCGGATTGCGGGTTATCATATCACTAAGTGCACTATAATATCAGAGTTCAAGTTTTATGTAAGTGAAGTAAAGTTTAATAACATTTTTCACGCAGAACGTCCTGTGTTTATACTCTCGGGGATACCAGTTATCATTCAAAGATTATTGAGTCGACAGTTCATCTTTCCATCCTCCACTCATGGGCGTCGTTTTAAATCGACCGGTAAGTTCGGGTTGTCATCTTGTTCCTTCAAAGGCATTTCCCATTTTTAGCCTAACGGTACACCAAACGTATTCAAAAGCGAGTTAAAAAGTCTAGAAGATTCAGACGATTGCGATTCAGAGCAAATAGAAGGATTCAAAAAGATCAGCACGAAAATATTTAAATTACGGTTCGAAAATGTGAAAATGACCTTGTTGCAAGTAACTTCGATAACAAAAAAATTAGTATGTTTCCCCAAAATCCACCACATCTGTGTAGAAAATGATCAAGTCCCACATTCTCCAATTTGCTTTCTGCTAACCAAACCAAACGGATATCCCGACTTTTAAGCAATTTCCATCACCCAACAACTTTCAAATAACAACCAAATTACAAAATCGCCATCTTGCCGCTACAAAAAACCTCGATTTGTGCAAATTCCGAAAGCAATTATAATACGAGCAAAAATCATACATGGCCAAAATCCCAACACTTTCAAATCAAATCTAACCGTTACAGCCGGTTACCATTTGTAGAGTTGACTTTCCACATTTCCGCTTGTTATGGTCGTCGTTTTTAAGGACCTCGTCATTCTATGTTCAGGTTGTCATCTGGTTCTATCAAAGGTGCTACAAAATGCCGACTGTTAGCCTAACATAAAGATGAGTAGATGTCTCTGAAGTTTGAAAGGAATAAGTAAAAGGAATGGGTTCCAGTTTGGGGACGCAACACCTAACGATACTCGAAAGGCTAAGCACGTAGACCCAATTTCAATTATTGTGAACTAGAGATCACCCACCGGCTAAATTCGATCATTCTGCGGAACAAGTTTGAGCCTAAGCACCTCAATTGACCGGTTGTCATTCAGCTGACTCGTAGCCGACTAATAGGAAATCGTTTCCGAACTTTGCGTCGCCGCCTTTAAATCAACGATGTTGTCAAAACTAGCTTTACTTGTCCAGACTCGGCGCCCTCTTTATCTGTGTTTGTGCAACCCCTGATTCTCTTTCTATTCCTGGAACCTTTAACATATCCCTTGTAAGGGAATAGGCTTATAATTATAAGTCCCCGTCATCATAATCGGTCATGAATTTTAAGCAAGCGACCTTGCCTTGAGTAATGCCATCGGCCTTGGAGGCAGCGCACAGAAATCCCGTCTACGTACGTTTAACTGTCAGTGACATTAGTTAATGAAAAGACCCTACTTTTAGTTTAGCCAACAACCACGATGACCTTCAATGACATTCACTTGATGCTTGCGCAGTAGTTCAACCTTGGAATTTGCGCGTGCGCAGAACTCAAGGTCAACGTGAGCCCTGCTGCTTACCTAACATTTCCACTTCCTGTTCACTAATCATATTTGTATATAAATGGAAGATCCGTCGGCTTCACGGAACACTTTTTACTGTTTTTCTGTTGACCTGAGAACATGATTTTCAGACCCGTTCAAAACCTGAAAACGTTTTCAGTATCTTACCACACTGACGGTCTGTGTATCGGATGTGGTTTCGTCCACCGTAGGGCGTAGAGCACAATAAACGCATCTGGGGATGCTAACTTAATTTTGTTGATGATACTGTATATTGTACAGGGTGTACAATTTTATTGTAACAATACATTCAAGTTGTGTGTTTATACATTTTTGATAAAATCTTGGAGTCACGAGTGCAGGTGTCCGCGTGCCTGCCCAAGAACCCTTCAAACTCCCAAGACAAATTCGTAATGATTTGACGAGCAAGGTATGTTTAGAAAAATTCGAAAAGAACACAAATTCACGAGAACTCCAGGAAAAGTTCATGAGAATTTGACTAGCACTAAAGCTACTGCAACTTGGCTTTAAACAAATATTTTAGAAGTTCAATAGATCCATAAGGAATCCAAATAAACATGAAAGCCAAGCAAAGTTCAGGTTAATTCCAGTTTCTAGGACAACCCCGTGAGACCTTAGAAAAAATTCCAGGAGAACGTCAAAGGAGTCATGTGGTTATTTTTGTCTAAAATCCATTACTTAAAAGTCAAACACTTAAAGACATTGGATACCCTTGAATCTCGTGAAGGACCTCAAAAGACCTGCAAGACTCAAATATTAGGTACCCTTCGAATGTGTGCAAGACTCTTAAGGGGTTTAACCTTCCCCTCCTTTAAAATAGGGTAGGTATTGACTTACCAAAAATGAACTTGAACATTTGTTACCAAAATCTTCTTCACTAAAATTAAAAACAACCTTAATTGGATTTCCTTCTAGCAATTGCATTGGTAATGAGTGCACTCAAATACATGCAACACAAACAGCTTCAAATGTACCCAAAAGAATGCTATCTTTAAGAACGTTCAAGTTTTAAACGTCTGTAAAAAGTTATATTTTAAGATTTTCTTTTAAAGTTGATTAATATAACGGTAGTTAAGTGAAAAAATGATGGTACAAAACATATCGAGGGTGGTTATTCCAGTTCGCGGAGGAATAGGTTGATATGGCCCGTAAGTTGGAGCTTTTCGTCGGATAACTTTTGTTCTATGAATTTGTTACGTTCTGGATTAAGTTTTTTCGACCGTCCAACGTTTATATGACGAAAGCAAAATTGTGTCCTAACTGTTCTTTGTCCTCTAAGTAGGCTTTACGAATGATTTTTCCAATACATGTATTGGTAATCAGTTTATTTTCTCTACGAATTGTAACTAAGAAGGCCAGTCCCCTTTTTTGTTAGCGTTTGCACCGGAATAACCGAGTACTAACAATAAACAATAGTTCATTCCTATCGAAGAAGTACTATACAATGCTATTAGTAATCAAAACACGTGAAACACATGATTGCTTACAGACAATTGAAACTGACCCACGGATTGAGTACCCAACTTGAATCGTGAACTAGTGGGCACAAATCGTTACCCAACTCAATCCGTAGAACCATTCCCTTTTAAATAAACGATGTTGTCAAAATTAGACTGGGTGCCTTCATCCATCTGTCTCTGTACTCTACTCTTCTACGGGATTAAAATTGAAGTGCTCTCTATAGAAAGGTAACATGGTTTGTCGAAGATCTTTCATATCCCTACAGTTCTCCATTTATCACCATTTGCCTAAGTTTAAAACGATTAATCTTATTAGTAACAGTGCGCTAAATTCTACCGACAATCTTCACCCCTCCGCGTAAGCGATATTTGTCCGAAACCCTCTTCTCAACGAATTTTACAACTTCCTCGGCGCTTATTAGCTCCCCTTCGAGTAGTTCAATCAGCGCCATGGGATGGAAGCCTTCCGTCTCGTGTGGCAGGCCGAGAACCACGGCATTTTTAATGATGGGGTGGTCAAGGAGAATGGGTTCAATATAGCTTGGGAATATGCGATAGGCCTTGTACTTGAAGGTATCCTTAATTCTATCAACGATAAAAACGCAATTTTCATCATTATAATACGCCAGATCCCCTGACTTCAACCATCCCTTCGAGTCCAACGTGTCGGAGGAATCGTAGTTGTGGTAGCCTTTGAACAGAATGTCCGTCTTCAACATAAGTTCGCCGCATTGGTTCTGGCCAAGGACTTTTCCCGTTTCAAGGTCAAGCGCAAGCGAGTGAGAGTGAATGAGAAATTTGGGCACGATTACCTTCCAATCCACTCCGTCCGCCGCAACGCCTACAGAACTAGGATATTTTTGCGCTAACTCTCGGCCTTTAATATCGGGTGGAAAAGTGAAGAGAGCACCAGAAAGTTCAGTCTATCCGTAAGCGTTACTTATGTTTTTGGGAACTAAGAAAGCCCGTCCTCTCGGCGATCCCAGTTATCTTTCAAAGATTATCGAGTCGACTGTCCATATTTCCATCTTCAAAGGTATTCCCCACTGTTAGTCTAACGGTACGCCAAACGTATTCATACAGTTTTAGAGTATCCAGAAGACGCAGACGATTGGGATTCAAAACGACCTGTATCAGAACATTTAAATTACTCTGAGATTGGATGGTCCAAGGATCGAAAAAGTATGAGTGGCCCGATGAAAAATGGCCCAATTCAGAAGATTCGAATCTTATTATCCGGAAGTTACCCAGGGTTATTTTATTGAAGACAAATTTCTATTGGATTCAAAGAATTCAGCAAGTTTCGCACGTCTTCAAAGTTCAAAAGGCTCAAAGTAATCAAACCTTTTGGAAAACTGTTGGACACCTTTGTATTCTAAGACGTTACTGAGGATTGTTTGGTGTTCTTCCAAGGATTTAGAAGATAAACTGTAAATGCTTCTGGAAGGTAGCTCTTGTATTAGTGACTCTTAAAGGTTCTCAAAGAAGTTCTAAAAGCCCTTTATATTTCTCAAAAACTAATCTAAACTCAAAAGCTCCTAAGAACTAGGATCGTCAGTCGAAAGCTCTAAATGCCTTTTGAGGCTGTTGGAAGTTCTTGTAAACCGTTTTCCACCCCTAAAACCCGTTACAGACCTTTAAATGACCATTTTGACACACATAAAACCCAGTGGAAGTTACTAAAGGCTCTTAAAAGCTTTCAAAGCGTAGATTTGGTCGACCAGTTTACCGGAAGTATTCGAATCGCTGTTACTCTGATACCTAGACCAACTATCAGGGTCAGGGAAATCGGCGCAAAGGCCACCCTCAAGCCAACGAGAACCTGGAGCCATTTCACCGTCAGATAAAAGCAGCCATCACGTGCCACTAAACACGAGCACTTGGAAAGAACACCTGAAACCCTAGATCCGCAGAGCTACCCGGAAAATTCCTCGCCAGCCGCACCAGTAGAACAGAAGCCAGGGATCTTTAGCACCGCAGCGGGCCCAGAAGATGGCGGCGACGGTCACTTTGGCAAAACTAACACAAAATTACCCTAGCGAGGATGAGCTCAACAAAACAAATCGGCGGAAGCGGCGGAAAAGCAAAGTAGTTGTATAGGGCCGAACTTGGACGGTTTAAGGTCGCTCGCCACCCGCTGGTGACCTTGGAGATTAGGGCCAGGCCACGTGGCTATGACCTTAGGTAAGGTAAAAATCGGGTGCCACGTGGGCGATGTCCTTGGAAATAAGGTCAACAATTGATGGGGTGTTTTCAAGAGCCTACAGGGTGTGAGGTGTCAAATTACATGTCCGAGGTCATCCAAGGCCAATGGCCTGATTGTTATGTAGTAGTAATGACACTCTTAAGATCATTCAAAGTGAGAGGGTCCATTTCTTGCGGTGCCAAGTTACATTTTCAAGGGCATACACATTCAATGACCCTATTTTGTGCGGTCTCAATTTCATTGTTCGAGGTCATACACGGTCAATGACATCACTTTTACGTGGTGAGTAATTAAAGTCGGGGTCACCCAAGACCACATTTTTGCGCTGTCTAATAAAATTTTCAAGGACAAGCAATCTCAATTACTGCATTTTTGTATGGTTTATATTTACATTTGCAAGGCCATACACGGCCAATGACCTCATTTGTATGAGGTGTCTAATTAAATTCTCAAGGTCATCTAATTTCAATTCCAAGGTCAATGGTCACATTTATTTTTTTGGTACTATAATTCATTCATTTTCAATGTTATCAAAGTTCAACGACCTCCACTTTTTTGCTGTGTTTAAGATTCCATTTTCAAGGTCATCAAAAACGAATTTCGAATTGTAATACGAGTCATTCAACGACAATAAACCTATGTTGTGTAACTGAAAGGAACGAATTCTAGTTTGGGGACGCTACACCTAACGATGTATTCAAAAGAGACTTGTCATTTGTGAACCAAGCGAACGAATGGGAGAGCGACAAAACATCAGCGACATTGCTTGATGTACAGAGGTCAAATGACTCATGACATTGACCTAGAACCTGGCGCATGCGCAGATCTCAAGCTCCCCGTCTTCCTCTGCTATTTAAAACACTTTTCCCTTTCTTTCCTTTCAGAACCATCTCCTTCTTATCAACTCACTGCGTCGAAACAACTCACCCACGCAGCGATAACGGAACGTCTTATCGCAACGACCGGAGATTACCTACACTATTTAAATACTAAGCGAATATTCCTCATGAATCTTTTAACACGTAATTAAACATCGTAATTATAACTGCTTAAGCCAAACAAAACGTATATTACACAACAGTATTCTTAATGTTTACAGGATCGTAACTTAAGCACCAATTTAGCTGTGTTTCGAAGATTTTTGGGTTTTAGTCAATACTATTAAATGATTTTACAATGCTATTAGAGGCTCTCAATGACACATAAGACTGCTTATTGCTCGCAAGGCTGTGTCGATTAAAGCGTCTATTGGAAAATTGGAAAACCTTTGAGATCCTTAAAGGTTCTCAACGAATAAGAGATGCAGTTAGGTCCATAAGGGATGTTAACTGTTACAAAGGCTTTTAAGGTCGTCAGAAGTTCTCAAAGGCTTGCGCCGTAGAAAAATAGAAGAGACCATTTCAACCTTTTGAGAGTAGCTTTCGCTTTTGTAATTCTTCAGCACAAGCGTGAAGGCTCAAACCTTTAAATTACAAACCATTTTTGAAAACTTAAAGGCTATTTAAGACTTATTTAAATCTAAACTCGAAGAAGAGTAGAGAATGCCAAAGGTTCTAAACGCTTCCAAAAGATAGTTGAGAACCCTTTGAAACTTTTAGAAGGTCGCAAGTTGTAAACGATTGTCTAAGTGCGTTAAAGGCCATTAAATGGCTGTGGTCAAGACTAATGTAGGTAAAATTTTCGGTTAGTTCTGTAGGATTATTAAACCTATTAGACACAAGGTATGGACTCTATTTTTATTGCTCTTTTGTCCTTGGGTGACCTTGAGCATGTAATTAGACATCACAGTGAAATGACTATATTGACCTTGGATGATCTTCAAAATATAATTTTACACCGAAAAAAATTGATTCATTGACCTTGGATGACTTCGACAAAGTGGGCGCCACAAGAAATAAGATCCATGACCTTGAAAATGTAATCCAAAATCTTGGATGGCTTCGAAAATGTAATTCGGCACCACATAAAAATGCAGTCATCGACTTTTGATGTCTTTGAAATTGTAATTTGACAACACAAAAATGTGGCCCCTGACCTTAGATGACATTGAAAATGTAATTTGACCCCACAATTTAGGTCATTAACCTTGGACGAGTCCAAACATGTAATTTGACAGATCAAAATGGGGACGTTGACCTTGTACGCCTTTGAAAATGTATTTTAAGGCCACATCAAATGTTGACCTAATCTGCGGACTTGAACGTAAGATCGTTTTCCGCGGGGGAGCGAAGATTCTTTCGAGCTCTTCTTCCACTTGTCTATTGTGCTCTTTGCCTTGGACGGGGTACGGGGTTTCCTGGAGGCAAGTGCACGACTGATTTGGAACACGTTTCGGAATAAGATCATATTCTCATCGACGTGCTCGTTCCGGGATTTGTTATGGCACTTTTGAGGGCTGCTTGTTTGGCATTCAGTTGTCTCTTTATATCGGGGTTTCGGGTGATTTTCCTTCTCCGAACGAGTCTCCTTTTCTCTCCAATCTCCTCCTTTAGATACTGAGGGAGCTGACTCGCCTTCTTGGCTGGGAATTGTTGGGTGGCCGCGGCCAGCGCCTGTTGAAGTTTGGTCGTCAGGATCTGCACCTTTTCGTCTAGGTCAGCCGCGGTGCGGATGCCCGGGTTCCCGGATGGTATGCTCCTCTGGAGATGTTCGTTAAACTTCTTCCAGTTGGTAATCTTCCTTGGTGTTCGGGGGTAAGGTGTCGAGTGTCGGGAGTGTTTTTCTTTTTCCTGGACTCCTTCCCTATTTTCTTGACTGGCTGCCAGTCGGGATCCTCGTCTTCGGAAGTAGAGGGATTGGAGTCGGGCGATCTGCCTACGTGATTGACGATGGTAGGGGCTGTCCACGTCGCTAAATTCCATCGCTGTGGCTGCGGCGCGGCGGTAGCGGGTTTCGTTTTAGTTGTCCCACCAGGGGACATCCTGCTCCGTTCCGTTACTTCCTGCTCCTTCGGTCTCACGAGCGCTTCACTACTTCTCGCGGTCGGCAGATTGAACCAGTCCGAAGACGGTTCGTCGGTTGAAATCGCGTACGCGGTTAAAGCCGATGCAGGTGTTCGGGTCTGAACTAGTGCTCAGAGTGAGATGCGCATTCTAGCGCAAGCGCGCTGCTTTTGTCTTATGCGGCCCTTACCCCGTCCGTCTTTTGTTACACCAATGAAAGAGATTTTGTGGGTAACGTACAAAAAGGAAAAAAGTCGCAGTTTGCCTAAACGTTTTATGCATACGTCGTCGGCATTATTTTTCCGGGTATAAAAAACAAACTGCAATTATTTATATAAATTATTCATTTATTAGGCAATTTTCACTTCAATTTATAATTCAACTTCAGCGATTTTTGTTTCGAAAATAAATTGCCCGCGGCCACCGTAAAATTTATACTTGGCTTTTGCGTGACTCGTTTTGTTAAGTAAGTAATTCGTTTTTATGCGAACTTCGTTCTAAATAAGTAAATATACCGGTTAATTTTCGATTTCGTTAATTTTTACGGTCGACCGCGGCCGAATTTTAATGTACCGAGGGGTGTTTGCGTTCGATTGTTATAAATCGCGCGTACTTACTCTGAAGGGGTGCGGGCAAATTCGGTTGGGAGAAGAAATCACGGCGTTTTCATTTTATTTTACGGTTATCTTTTCATGAATATCTAATAAGATCCTTTTTTATAGAACGGCTGCAATTACTTAACGCAAATAGCGCTAGGGAGCTTATACGGTGGAGTTACCCCAGCGGAAGAAGTGCGACTACCAAATACCGAAATCTGTAAGTTCCTTATTTCTTAATGGTTCACTCAGTTGTGTCTTTTGGCCCGTCATTTTCGCGTTCAGGGGCAAGTTTTAAGAGCATCATTAATGTGAACGAAGGAGTAATTGCAATAGTTTGAAGTGTAAGTATTGTTTCTGGGTTTGTTTGATCTCAAATTCGTTTTGGATCGAGATACATTTTTTTTTCTCATATGGAGGCTATAAATTGAATGTCTTAATGGATGCATGCGTAAGTGGCGGCCATTTGCTCAATTCCCTTTGTTATTTGGTGATATATTTCTAGAGGTACGTCATTCGCACTTGAAATGAATCTAATTATCAGCCGTTGCCGTTTTACCGTTTCATTGTCAATACCTATTTTCTAAATTAATTAGCGGTAGGTTAGGTTTTCTGTTTGATAGGAAACTTGAAGGTAATTCTGCCACTGCGTATGTATATTGTGCATGTGCTTATTACGGCGACCTTTACCGAGGTCATGATAACACCCTGCCGGTGCTATGCTGACCAAGGGAGAGGCTGACGTCAGCTCTCTGTTGATCACGATATATAATAATAATAATAATAATAATAATAATAAAGTCTTTTATTAAATCATGCCACACACACAATTTAACAGGGCGAAATTCAGATGTTGGGCTACTCACGGCGACCCAACTCTGCTCTTACACTTAACCCTACTATAATGAAAAGAAATCAAAATCTAATTGGGAATTGTACAGAAAAATAACGAATTACTTTGTAATGGGAAAAAAAAATAAGTACATAAATAACTTTATGAAAAACAAAATGTATGAAAAAAAATACTAATAAAAATAAATAACTTACAGTCACATGGGTTATAAAATTTAACTCAAATCAAACGTTTG